CAGTGTGAGCTAGGGAGACACTGGTAGCAAAGGGTTACCAAAGAAAGTTTTAATAAACTCTACATTATGTGTAATGATCATTGTAAATTAATTGGGTTTTACATAGTTGTAAGTAACCATACTACTTCATTGTCCAGAGCCAGGGGTGGGGAACCTGCAGCCTCAAGTGTGGCCCTTTGGCTTGAATCCAAACTTTACAGAACAAGTTTGGATTCAGTCAAAAGGCCACACTTGAGGACCTAGAGAGCCACATGTAGTCTGAAGGCTGCAGGTTCCCCACTCCTGTTCTAGACTATGCTTTTCATTCAAGGGAAGTCCTTGGCAATATTCTTCAGTGCATTTGGCTTTGGGAAAAGGAAAATTAATTATAGAGGCTACTACTAGTCCTCTACAAACCACTGGTTAACTATAACTGCTCCCCAGAATCTTTCTTTTAAGTGAACCAACTTGACTGAATGAAGTAGTGAATGAGTATATTCTTAAAAGAATCAAGAGTAGGAGAGATAACTTAAAAACTGTTGGACTACCTGAAAGCCATGATCAAAAAAAGAGCCTCAACATCATCTTTCAAGAAATTATTAAGGAAAACTGCCCTGATATTCTTGAACCAGTGGGTAAAATAGAAATTGAAAGAATCCACAGATCACCTCCTGAAAGAGATCCCAGAAGGAAAACTCTCAGGAATTATAGCCAAATTCCAGAGTTCCCAGGTCAAGGAGCAAATATTGCAAGCAGCCAGAAAGAAACAATTCAGGTATTGTGGAAACACAATCATAATAACACAAGATTTAGCAGCTTCTACATTAAGGGATCAGAGGGCTTGGAATACGATATTCTGGAGGGAATGAGTGAATCTTACTCTCATTGCATTTGTCTTGAGGAGGGAATAACATACACACTCAATTGGGTATGGAAATCTGTCTTACCCTATAGGAAAACAGGGGAGAAGGGGATAAAAGAGGGGAGATGATAGAAGGGAGGGCAGATTCGGGGAGGGGGTAATCAGAAGCAAACACTTTTGAGGAGGGACAGAGTCAGAGGAGAGAATAGAATAAACAGGGGGCAGGACAAGATGAGGAGAAATATAGTTAGTTTTTCACAACATGTATTATGGAAGTATTTTACATGACTATACATGTATAACCTAAAAAAAAAAAGAATCAAGAATAGCCTAAGACTATTTGGCTGAGCATTATATCATGCTAAAAGCATATAAGCTAAAGCATACATGCTAAAGTTTAACATATGCTATTGCAGATATGATGTTAAGATTGGATCTTCTACAAACATCATGGGACCTGACATCCCGGCCAAGACTAAAGAGACTTTCATCAGTCTTTTGGCATCTTATAACATGTGGGCCTTGCAAGGTAATAAAGGTATTTTTTCTGAGGTTAAGAAAGGAAGTTGTTGACGTAAGGTTTTAAGGTTTTACCTTATCCCCCTCCTTTCAGTGTAACACTTTACAGTGCCTACAACAGTACCATTTATAGGATCATGGGATTTAGAGCTGGAAGGAACATTTGAGATTATGTAGTCCAGACTCCTCCTTTCACAGATGCAAAAACTGGGGCCCAGAGAGGTGATGTGACTTGTCATACCAGTAAACAGCAAAGCTTGTATTCCAGCCCAGGTCCTCTGATTAAAAGAGCTCTTGCTACTATATCACAGAGGTCCTATGAGGAAGGAATGGAAACTCCAGAAGGTCAAGTCACTTGCCCAGGGTAAAAACACATCAGTGGGGTTGTTGTAATGAAAACCCTGGTCCCCATACATCTAATCCTGGGTTTAACTACACCTTAACTAAAAAATGTTCAGTAAACATGCTGTAGTAGGGCTTGGTAAGTGAAAGAGAGAGAGAGAGAGAGACTGTGTGTGTGTGTACAGATAGCTTTAGAGACATTCCTTCCTTGGGAAAGGGAAGGAATTGGGTACTGTTCTACCAGAGAAGAGTCCTGGGCTAGCTGACTGCTTTAAACAGAAACCTCAGATCATAGTAGAATAGTACATGTGAAGGTGATCAAGTCAGCTTTCACAAATCTGTCAGTGGTGTGGGCTTATAAAACTAGATTTGTATATTTTTCATGTTTAATGTACATGAGGCTCATAATAGAATTAATAGTATATGGGAATGGAAGGAAGAGTTAAAGGACTCGTTCTCTGGTGGAAGTAGAAAGCAGAGGGTTAGGATCCCTTCCTGGCCTAGAGGATGATCTAGTAATATTGCTGTGCTTCTGGCCTGCTGGGCGTAGGCCCACACCATAAGCAGTTTCACCCTTGCCAAGCCCTGTCTCCTTCCAGAAGGTCTAGATCCCTGGGAACCTACACAGCTTCACAACAGAACTCAGTAAGTGTTTTTGATGATAATAATAGTTATTTGATATAAGATCAATATATTTCTCCCAATGTGAAGTCATATTTGTCATCTTTTTTGAAGCATTCTCCTCCATATTGTCTAGTGGACAGAATCTTCTATTCTCCTTTTCCAGATTTACTTATAATATCTTGAACTGGGGTTGTGGGTACTAATACAGAAGGCAAGAATAGGAGTATTATCACTATAGTGGCTTTGGTCTTAAAATATATTTTTCCATTTTATTCACCAGGTATAGAATTTGTAGTCACCCAGTTGAAGTCCATGGTTTTGTCCTTGGGGTTGATTGACAGGCACCTTACAGTAGAAAAGGCAGTCCTCCTATCTCGTCTGGAAGAAGAGTATCAGGTATGCAAATTTGTAGACCTGTCAGTTTAAGTATAGATAATCCTCTCCGGGTTCAGTTCTGAAACCACCATAGGGCCTCAGATCCCATAGTGTAGATATATGGTTGCCATCCAGAGCCTAGTCAGATTGAGCACCTAGATCCATCTTGGAGCAGCCCCAAAACCCGTCTTATTTTCATGTATTCTCTATCCAAGAATGGCCTGGGGTCAGGCTTACTGAACCTGTGGGATTAGACCTGAACTATACTAGCCTTTAAAGGAAGAGGACATCTTCCTGACGCCTATGTTGAACCATTCCCCAGCTCTACTACCACTTTCGTGGGTGAACTTGCCTAATTAAACTTAGTGTGTCTCTCTGGTATGCTGTGTATTCTATTGCTCTGTTTGCTGTTTCTAATACTTCTGAGAAATTTTCTTTCATGCTTTCCTTTACTGTGGTATGCAAGATTTTTTTCATTTGAGTTTTCATTGGAGACCAGTCATTCTCAGATTATCTGAGTTCTATCTTTAGAATCAGTTCCTTTGGACCGTAGATATTAAAATGTTTTTTTTCCAATTTTCTTGCCTCTTGACTTGTCTTGAATATTTGTTATATCACTACATTTTTGTATTCTGTCTCTTCCATGCCCTTTTTAGAAAGTCTACCACTTTATTAATAGTCTCTACCTTCTGTTCCAAATCATCAATTCTCTTTTCAAAATCTTTAAAAGCTCTAATTTCATTCCTCATCTCTTCCCTTAATTCTGTTCTTAGGCTTCTCAGTCAATCTTAGAGTTTCTCATAATTGTTCTAATATCCCCTCTGAAGATCCACTTGTAGTTAATTTGCAGCATTATCCCCTTCTGGAGAGTTCTCGAATTCTTTGATCACATAGTACTTCATTATTACTTCAGGAGATCTTTTTTGGTTTTTGGTTTGATTTTGTTCAGTCATTATTGGTTTATCTGTGAGAGTTATCATTCTTTTACTTTATTTGGTTTACATTTTATTGTTTTTGAGATAATGAAGTGGCAGTTTGGGTATAAACATGACCCATCACTCAGCCATTTTAACAAGCAGCTTGTTGGTGCAAGGGATCAAGGGCCGGGCCAGGAGTTGGGCAGAACTGGAGTCAGTTCAGATCCTGCCTCAGACCTTTATTTGTGGTGTGACTCTGGGCAAGTCACTGAGCCTCCGCCTGGCTGTTTCCTCATGTGTAAAATGGGGATTATAATAGCACCTCCCTCCTAGGGTTATTGTGAGGATCAGATGACTTAATCATTGTAAAATGCTTAGCACAGTGCCTGGTGCATAGTAGGTGCTACATAAAAGTTAGCTATTATTATTATTACTAACTCCCTATAAATGAATTTGGCCAATTCATACAACTTCTGAACTGTGCCAAGTCTTGCCAGTTCTCCTTCCACAGTATCTTTAATATCCATCCCCTTCTCTGCTCACATAGCCACTAGCCTTGCTCAGGCCCAGCATCTTTTGCTAGTCTGCTGGGTCTCCCTGCCACAGGCCATTCCCTCCACATGTCTGCCAGAATGATGTCACTAAAGCCTGAATCCAAACCTTCTTACCTCTGGAGTCAACAACAAACTCCTCTGTTTGGCATTTAAAGTCCTTCCTAACCTCATTTTAGGCTTCCCTTCACTCCCTCTATGGGCCAGCCAGACTGGCTTTCTCACAGTTTCTCAGCCATGACATTCCCTCCCTCTTTCTCCAGGCCTTTGCATGGCCAGGTCCTCATGCCTAGGATGTACTTCCTCTTCACCTTTGAGCTCAAGAAGGAAATGGCAAATCACTCCAGTATCTTTGCCAAGGAAACCCCAAATGAAGTCATAAAGAGTTGGGCCTGACTGAAATGACTGAACAACAAAATTTTGTATGGTGTTTTTATTTTTTTGTTGTTGTTAAGCATTTTTCAATTACATTTTAATCTGGTTCTGGCCACAGGACACTTTGGAGTTTTGAGGGCAGCCAGTTGAACGTATCTGTTCAAGGCAAGTCTCTAAGACTATAAATGGCAGGGAAGGGGCAGACCTGCGCTGGTAGCAGGAGCTCGTTCATCTGGGAGTTCCCTCTATCCATGAAATCACTGATAGGACCAGTCCGTATCCCAAAGTGTTGCTTTAAATAAGTAGATTTGAGCTGGACATTGGAAATTTTTCATTATCTGTCAATGTTTAACAGAAGTTTACTTCTTATGTCAACCTCACCAAAGTGTTAAGAGGAATAGCAAACGTTGATTGTAAAGTACTCTGTAAACTTAAATGTGAGAAATGTAAATTACATTAGAACACAACTTTATTCAACAAACCTCCCTAATTCAGAACTTGTATGGCAACTAATATATTCCAGCTGAAGTTTAGAAGACAGTTTACCAAGGAGAGGCACAAATTCAATTTCTGTGTAGTGACACTTAGTCTATTTAGGATTAATAAAAGATAGAATGGTATATAGTTGATAGAAAGCCAGGATCAGAGTCCAGAAAACTTGGATACAGGTCCCACTTTTAACATATTGGCTTTTTGACCCTGGGCAAGGCCCTTAATCTTTCAGTGCTCCAGGCCAGAGGTGTCAAACAGAAAACAAGGTTAAAGTGTAATTGGGAAACATTTAACAAAATAAATGAAAATGCAGTACAACATAATAATGTTAATGTCTGGTTTTCTGAGTCAATATGTGTCCCACAGGAATCCTCCTTCTACTTGACTTTGACACCATCCTTCCAGGTGGCTCTGTGACATAAGTTACAGCTGCTGATCTATAGTGGTCAAAGGACTTTCCTCACTGGGAGTTTCCTACACCAAAGAAATGACAGGGTCCAGACCAAAAAAGAGAGTGAATGAGAATTGTTTGCAACAACTTTGATGTCCGGCTCTTTCCCCTTAATTCTAGTCCTGCATTTCCAGCTGCCTGCAAGATATCTCCCCAAGAACTCATCATCTGTCCCAAAGCCTGTTCATTTCCTGGTTTCTGGTGATGATACCACCAACTACCCTGTCACCCAGAGTTGAAATTACCAAATTTTCTTTGACTTACTTCTGTGTCATCCCCCATATTTAGCCTTTTGCCAGATTCTGTCCATTTTATCTCCATCTATCTCTCGAGCCTGTCCCCACCTCTCAGCACCTTCTGCCACTCACCACTCTCCCCTTTCCTCTAAACTGTTACATCAGTTTCCAAACTAATTTGCCCACCAGAAGTTTTTCCTTTCTCCAATTCATGCTTCACACAGCTGCCAAATTAATTTTATTGATGTACAATTTTGACCATGTCAGTCCTTTGTTCAGAAAATTTTTGCAACTTTTGTCAGCAAGATCAAAAAACAGAATCTTTAGCCTGGTTCCAAACTGTCTTTCTGGCTGTATTTCACACCACATGCTATACACTCCATCCAGTTTGTGCAATTCCCACACTCATCATGATCTCTCCCAGCTTTTGTTCATTGGCTGAACTGTCCCTGTGCTTTTCATCTCTAAGGCACACAGTTCAGGGACTGGCACAAAAGGTGTTCCTCTTGAGCTGCTTTTCTTGTTTCTGATGGACCAGTTTTGTTTTTTTCTAATTTAATTAGGTCTTTTTCTCTTTTTTTGGTGAGGTAATTAGGGTTAAATGGGGTTAAGACTTGCCCAGAGTCACACAGCTAGTGAGTGTCAAGTTTCTGTGGCCGGATTTGAACACAGGTCCTCCTGACTCCAGGATCAGGGATCTATCCAGTGAGCCACCCAGCTGCCCCAGTTAGGTCATTTTCAATGCCATCTCGTACCTGCATGCCCTTTGGGCAAGTCACCAACCTCTCCTCATCTGTAAAAGGAGCAGACTGAACTAGATGACCTCTGAGGTCTCTTCCAGCTTGAAATCTATCATCCTATATTTCTTTCAGTTCTTCTGATGAGTGAGATTTTGTCATTTGAGTGCCATTGTCCTTAGACACTGTCATTCCTACATAGCCAAGCAACTCTAGGCAGAAACACTCAGGGATATAGACTTTTTTGAACAGGCAAAGTAGTATTTCACAAGCTGCTGACTTACCTGCCGCAGAAATGACACGATGAGAAGGGAGTGCTTTGGGATCAAATATCCATCATAATAACCCAAGTATGAGGAAGAAAAGAACCCAGAAGCACAGTGTGATACTGCTTTCTTATGCCATTGCCTGGCTGTGGCTGATTTATGTTATAGATAACCCCACAGAGGTGGCTAAATGGCTCAGTAGATAGAGCACTGGGCCTGGAATCAGGAAGGCCTGAGTTCAAATCCAGCCTCAGACAATGACTAGCTGTGTGACCCTGGGCAAGTCATTTAACCTCTGTTTGCCTTAATCTACCAGAGAAGAAAATGGCAAACCACTCCATTATTTTTACCAAGAAAACCCCATCCAGGTCATGAAGAGTTGGGTATGACTAAACAACTGAACAACAACAAGTCCCACTGGTGTAGCGCACGGTTGTGGCAATTATTGTAGCTAGCCACCACTGTGTACTACAGACATTGTTCTAAATACCACTCCATCCAGGTAGTAGCCTTATTGAATGAAAGCAGATCCCTAAGAAATTGATCCTGGTACATCCATATTTATGATTTGATTCTTGAAATAAAATTTGGAGCAAATGTTCATGGAAAAATCTTTAAAGATCTAGAACTCTTGTGTTTTCCCAAGATGTCTTGATGCTAACAAACTGTACACGTTGTTCTCTTAGGTCCAGAAATGGGGCAATGTGGAATGGGCCCATGACTATGAGCTACAGGAGTTGCGGGCTCGAACTGCAGCTGGGACACTTTTTGTTCACCTTTGCTCTGAAAGTTCCACAGTGCAACACAAACTCCTGCAGGAATGAGGTTCTCTTACTGAACTCTGGATCATAAAGGAATGATGAGAGCATCCTAGGTGAACTGAGGATGGTATGAACTAACGCCACTGGACTGATGCCCCAGTTCCTGCTGTCCTCATCCTGTCTTTGATAATGAAGAGGTATCCAGGAGAACACCTTCTAGCAAGGGGAAAAAGGAGCTACCACTGTGGTACACAGAACTCTCTCCCTAGCTTTTTTAATATTAAAGATTTTAGCAAGATCAAAATTTGTATCAAGCCTTATAATTATTTATGGCTTCAGAATTCTTTGTGCCTGGGTTTCCCTAAGTTTAAACATCTTATCTTTTGTGAGTGTACTTTCCTTCTGCTGGTCTAGATCTGAAATACGAGACTCAGTACCTGTCACCAATCAGGAAACTAATTTGTATTCTTGATCTTTCAACCTCTTTCCTCTCAAATATGTTTGACATTTATCAAAGGATCTCTTGAAAGTAAGTTAATCTTGCTTTTTTTTTCTATTTCTTAAAAGTCATAGAAAGTAGTCTGCTCTTTAAAACAGAAGATTAAATATTTAATATAATTAAAATTCTAGAAAGTTACCTGATTTGAAAGACATATCTAAGGAAAATTCAGCATTTCTCCCTAATTTTTTGTATTTAAGGTCCCCTCCTTACATTGTGTTCAACGTGGCAATCTGCCATTTCTTAGCATCACTGTTATATAATACAGCAGAAGGAGCAAATGGTTCTCCAAATACGCATGCAGTGAAGACTCTTCAAGCAGCCTGCCCTTATTAGCACACTTAAAAATAAACTCTAGGAACTTAAGATAACCTGCGTTCAAAAATAAATAAAAGAAAGCTTTCATTTTAAGAGGTTTGAGAACTTTCTTTCCTGTATTCTACAGCAGTCAGTAATAGAAATCATATTTCCATTGTGCTGGGTTTTTTAAAAAGTCATTTTCTGACAGGTTGTAAATATGTAGCTCAATACAATCTGTTTTTACTTTATGTAAATTCACATTACCCAAATTCAACTTTACTTACAGACTTCTGAAAGAAATCTTTATTCCAAAAAATATATATATATGTTAACTTTAATGTACAGTACTGTGCTCTCTCCACTCCCACCCCTAGGCTCAATGTTCTGAGGCTTCCCAACCCTCCACCCAAAAAAACTCCCCAAACCCTCCAAGTCAAAGCAGAAGAACAGATGCAGGCGGGGGTTGGCTTGAGACCTCCAGTGCCCAATGAGTAGACCTCTGCCTTCTGTCTTCCATATGTCCACACTTAGCGACCGCATGTCTGGCCCCACCCCTATGTGTCACCTATCCTCTCCTGTCTGTGTCTGGCCCCCATGTGTCAGTCCCCCTCATAATCTTCCTCTGGGTTCTGTCCGGGCCCTCATGTGGTTAGCCCCAGCCCCCACGTTCCTCCTCCTGCTCTCACTTCTAGGTTCCTGGCCCCCACTTTTCCTTTAACTGTATGCTGGCCCCCTCCTTCCATGGGCGTAGCATCCACTTCCTGACTCCCTCCATCTCTCCTTTCCCTATGTCCATGGGCAAATTCAAATTGCTTTCCATGGAGGTTTACAGAACAGTCCACTTACATAAAGCAAGAACTGTCTATACTAAGAAATGGCTGGTTGCTATTCTAATGGCTCTTCAGTCTCCTTTTCATCCTTCTAACATCAAGCTGGTAATTTGCATGGCCAACAGAGGGCTCCAGTGTGAATGGAGCCATCGATCCCTACGTGGCTTCGATGGGCCTGCTGGATACAATGATCAGTACTTTGGCTTGATCTTTGTCTTTGTTTTTCATAAATTTAAATACATTTTAAAGCAATAAAATATCCTTTGGAACTTCTTCTCATGGGGAAAATCTTGAAAAACTTAGGTAACCATATCTTTACAAAAATTGCCAGCTACTGGTCACTCAGGTACTGGAGCAGAATTTGAGCTCTAATCAATATTCCTTTCTAAAAAGAAAAGAGGACCCTCTTTTGTATGAAAACTTACCTAATCTATCAGGTCACCAAAATCGAAGTTGTCCAGTTCAGTCTGCAAATGGTCAACATACTGATTGATTTCCTTCACTCGTTTTCGGTTCCTGTTGTGTTCATCATTATGAACCTGAGGATTTGAAACCAAAGAATGATTTCCTTTTAAAATTCCTTTTTTTTTTTTTTGGCTAGGCAATGGGGTTAAATGACTTGCCCAGGGTCACACAGCCAGTAAGTGTAATGTGTCTGAGGCCTCATTTGAACTCAGGTCCTGAATCCAGAGCCAGTGCTCTATCCACTGCGCCACCTAGCTGCCCCTAAAATTCCTTTTTAAAAGCCTCAGTGTGTGTGTCCAGTTTAGGAATAAAATGATTGATAAAAATTTTACATGGTTAATATTTTCTATAGTTTGATGAAAAAGTATACAGGATGAGTGACCCTTTTTCTTAACAATGTTCTAATCTGTTTAATTTTGTAGAACTTAGAAACACTGTATCACTAATAAGCTAAAATCAGTGTCTTTTGATGTTTTTATTTATGGGGGTGAGGGGTGAAGTGGGAGATATTCAATCAATGTGACTTTCTAGAAAAACTTCCAATTCCTCTGTCTCTGGTCTGTAGTTGAGAAATAAAGTTTTACCTGCCACTGTTTACTTACCTTATCTACTATAGCTGTACACCAACTGGTGACTTTGGTTATTAATTCATCTTCTCTATTGTCTATCTTCAGAAGGTGGATGTCATGTGATGCTCCAACTGCATTAACAACTGTATCTTTGTCAGAAAAAACCTAGTGAATAAAATTGATTAAATATGGGATACATTTTGATTTGAAGCATAAGCATGGTGAAAATCAGAGCTTAATATCAAGTGAATGTAAGAGAAGAAATTCATTCAGTATTGATAGAGCCAGTCCTGTGGTAAGCCAGTTAGAAAAAGCTGCCTCTATCTTTACAGAAAAGACCTGAGTTCAAATCTTGCCTCAGATACTTCCTAGCTGTGTGATCCTGGGCAAGTCACTTAACCTCTGTATGCCTGTTTCTTTACATGTAAAATGGGGGTCCTGATAGCACCCACCTCAGGACTGTATGTTCTCAAATGAGATCATAATTATAAAGTGCTTAGCACATGGTAAGCACCTATATAAATTTAGCTATTGTTATCACTATCATTATTATTATATTCCAGTGTGTTTTGCCACTAGATTATCAGAGAGTAAAAAATGAGATCAAAAGATTTAAGTATAACATATTGCAAATGATGGAAACGGTAATGGTATGGTGGAAAGAACAATGAATTTGCAGACTCAATCGTTCAAATCCTGCCTCTCCAACTTGCCAGCTTGTATGACTTTGAGCCAGTCACTTGAGTTTTTTTGATCTCTTTGCTTTCTGTAAAGTGAAGAGGTTGGACAAGGTAACATGATGCAATGAATAAAGTCTAAGATTCAGAGCCAGAGGACCTGGGCTTTCCTTTTGGCCCCAGGGCTTACTCCCTGCAGGATTTTAGATAAAAGCTTTTCATTTTTCTGGAGCTCAGTGTTGTTCTCTGTAAAATGAGGCAGTTAAATAGATGTGCTCTGAGGTTCCCTTCTAAATCTAGATCATATGGTGGTAAATAGGTATTAGTTGGTAGTAGACATTTTTTCCTTCGATAATAAAAGCAATAATAAAACTGACTGACTCCCCTCACCGCAAAGGGCTGTTTCATGTTGGTCCTTGGGTCCCAGGCGATAAGCACAGTACATTAAACACAGACGTGTTTTGTAAATGCCTCGCTTGCTTGTTGATTGATTTTTTTGCTCAGTTGCTGGTTTCAATTTAGGTAAGCAAATTATACTGAAGAAATATTTTTTTTGTCTGAGCAGGCTGATGCGTGATCCCTAAGAACATGATGCTATTTGGAAGGTTTTGTCTGCACTTGACTTTGCAAAGGGTAACACTCAAATATCCCAGTACTCACGTGCATCTGTGATCTCATCGGTTTGGATGTTCTCCCCAGTGATGCAGGTCACTACCTCTCTACCCCTGCCTATAGCTCTTGTCCATGTCCTCCCATAAGTCTGGATTGGGGGAGGGAAGATGTTAAGGACAAGAGAGAGTCCACCCAAGATGTGAGGGGCTTTCCATGGCTCTTGACTTCACAAGGATCCCAATGGAGTTCTCAGATTATCCCCATTCTTCCTTGCTCTCACCACATGATGGGTCCATCTCCTTTTTTGTTTATATTTTTCTTTGTGATATCCTTTACTCCACTTCTTCAAGGTTACTAAATTTATTAAATACTGCAGCCTTCTTGTACCTATCATGCACCTTTCCAATGATACTCTTTTTAATTCTTGACAGACTAGCGTTCCATGATGCACAGCCATTCATCAGTAGAATGTTTATATTAAAAAAGCAGGCATCCCCCCTACTTAACAGAACCCTAATCTTAGTGCTTGGGTCTGGGCCTAGGGAGAAGTAGGCCCCCGGCCCTTGCTTCCAAATACCCAACTCCTGCCCCCCCCCCCCCATGACTGACCACTCCCCAGGCAGAAACAAGGTAGCTCAACTCTAGATGCTCACTATCTCCCAACCTAACACCATCTGGACCCAGACCTGATACTAATCTAAAAACATGTAGAAAAATCTAATTTTCTCACATGCCCTAGATGAACTACAATAAAGAAATCTATCTAATCTGAAACTGAAAAATAAAAAGCTATCCAAATGAAGAGAAAGCAAATTAATATACTCTTGGTGGAACTGGTTTGGTCTATCTTTCCAAAAAGCAATTTGGAATTATGACCCCAATGCTACTTTGAATACCCTTTGACTCAGTGATAATACCACTAACTATACTCATGTCCCAAAGAGATCAAAGAAAAAAAAAACACGTACATAAATATTTACAGAAACTATTTTGTTGTAACAAAAACTGGACACAAAGGAGGTATCAGTCAAATGGGGAACAACTAAACAAATTATGGCATATGAATGAAACGAGCTATTATTGCACCATAACAAGTTACAAAAGGGACAGGTTCAAAGAAACTTGGAAAAGACTTGTATGAACTGAAGCTTAGCGAAGCAAGCAGAAGCAGAAGAACAATTTCTACAGTAACAATATTGTAAAGAAGAAACTTTGGATCACAGGGCAAATATTGTAGAATAAGAGGAAAGAGTACAGACTACTCTCTCCCACAACTATTCCAACAAAGTTCAAAGAACAGCATCAGACTAAGCAGTGAACAGGAAATCCAAGGACGAACTACAGTGGGTCCTTTTTTTCCAGCCCAGATCAATACAGGGAAATAGCTAGAGACCCACAGATGTTGGGAATGGGCCCACCCAATAAGGTCTCTGCAAAGCTTTCTAGCACATGGATGGAAGCTGGGACCTGGGGCTATGTAAGGGGTCAGAGAGCATGTAACAGGGATGAGGGAGGAGCTGTGTCACTCTGATCCTGGAATGGGATTTAAGAGCTTTCCATTGAAGGCTAAACAAATTATGGTATATGAATATAGCAGACTATTAATGACCTCTAAGAAATGATGAAAGCAATGGTTTCAGAGAAGCCTGGTATGGCATATATGAACTAATGAAAAATGAATTGAGTAGAACCAAGCAAACAATTTCAATGACTACAACATTGTAAAGAAAGAGACCTAAGAACTCTGAGCAGACTACCTCCCTCCTTTCCAGAGAAGAATTCCACAATTAGACACATAATTAGACAGGGCCAAAGTATGGGTTTGTTTTGCTTGACCATGCTTATTTGTTGGAAAGAGATTTTTTGTTGTTGTTGTTTTTGTACACTATGGTTCTTGTCCTTTTTGTTTTTTTATCTCTTTGGGATACAGACTTAGTAGTGGTGGTATTGCATGGTCACAGGGTTTTATAGCCCTTTGGGCATAGTTCCAAATTTCTCTCCAGAATGGCTGAAGCAGTATACAACTTCACCAATAGTACATCAGTGTTTTAATTTTTCCACATCCCCTCCAACATTTGTCATTTTCCTTTTCTGTCATATTAGCCAATCTAGTAGCTCAATAGTAGCTCATCGTTGTTTTAATTTGCATTTCTCTCATCAATAGTGATTTAGAGCATTTTTTCATATGAGTATAGGTAGCTTTGATTACTTTGCCTGAAAAACTGCCTGTTCATATTCTTTGACCATTTATCAATTGAGGAATGGCTCCTATTTCCATAAATTGGACTCAGTTTTCTATAGTTTGAGAAATGAAATTTTTATCAGAGAAACTCAATGTAAACATTTTGTTTCACAGTAATGATTACCAACTATATATTGCCCTCAATCCTATTTTCCCCATTTATCCTACTCTCTCTCTCCTTTTACCCTTTCCATTTTTTTTTTTTTTTTAGGCAGTTTGGGTTAAGTGACTTGCCCAGGGTCACATAGCTAGTGAGTGTCAACTGTTTGGTCTGAGGCCAGATTTGAACTCAGGTCCTCCTGACTTCAGGGCCAGTGCTCTATCCACTGTACCACCTAGCTGCCCCTACCCTTTCCATTCTCAAAAGTGTTTTGCTTCTGACTTTTACCTCTCCTAAATTGTTTTTAATGTGGGAAGGGAATAGGAGGAAATTGTGGGCTAGGATGCAAATGAAAAGAGAAAAGTAGGTCATTGAAGCATTTTTTAAATGCTTGGAAGAGAACAAAAGGAAGTCGAGAGGTAGTCAAAGAAAAGCAGGACAGCTTTGAAGCTAACGTTGAATTTATTATATGCTTTAAAAGGAAGCTGTTCAGAATGAAAAAATAAGAACTTTTTAAAAATTCAGATGCAGGCTCTTGACTTAAGAACAATTGACTTATTAAGTATCAGATACACATGGCCATGGGGAGTCTTGGTTCACAGAAACAATTGTCCTTTGTTCCTCAACAAAGAACACTTGGGAAAGTAACCAAGCATAACTGATCAATCCACCCTGACCTCCAATCAAGTCCTCTTTCTGGTGAGGGGCAAGGGAGGGATGACGAAGGAAATGCTGTTGGTAAAGGAGAGTTATCTCTGGTTTGCCTGATTAGAACTTGAAATGCATTTTCATACAGTATGTAATAAGGATGGTTAAATATAATCGAAATAGTATTACTAGTCTTATATTTCAGATATAAGTTAATTAGACCTTGGGGTGGGGCAAGAGCAGTGCCCTTGGAACCTGCCATCTCTAGCATTCTTTTGGGGAAAATAAGATCAAAATAGAAACTTAAAGCTGGAAGAAATGTTAGAGATCATCCAGTCCAGTGTCCCACAAATCATATTCCATAGAGCTCTGTTGGGCCAAGCATGAAGTTTCCATGTGAAAATACTGATGTGAATATTTTCCCTTGAATATTAGATATAAACCTATACTGGCGAGGGACTGAGCCTACAATTTCATTGGTGCAGGACAGGAAATTCCTGTAAGGATACTATGCCAGTGCAGGTTAGTCTTATAGAGTTGCTTATGATACCATACCTTCATGGCCAAAGTAAGTATGTGGAAGAGGCAGGATTTGAAACCAGGTATCCCTAACTCAAGGCAAGTTCTCAATATACCACACTGTCTCTCTTCATATGAGTGTGTGGATACACAATAAAAATACTACTATGTAAAGTCCATATTTCTATATAAATATGAATATATGCATATATATTATATATATACATATATAAAATCTTATGGCAGTTTGGGGCTCTAAGATGGGTGTAATTTCTCCATTCCAAAATTTCCCTGATCCTCTTTATTCTAGATGGCTATTCTATGGCCCAAGACTGACATTTGTGGGTCCTATCAATATATTTCCAGCTCACAAGTATTCTATAGACAAATGAATTTGGGAAATGTTTATCCATTTCAGATGAATAGTTTACAGACAAGAAAACAGACTCAAGAAATGTAAGTGATTTGCCCAAGGTCACAACACGTTAATAGGAGAACCAGGACTAGAAACAAAGTCTGATGCCTAGTCCAGTGCTTACATTATATTCTTTTTTCTCTTAAGTAATATATAGCCCAATTTTTGAAACACACTTGTTTTGCTCTGTCATCAGTGTCAAAAGACCACATTCCACACAGATGGTAAAATATGACTTTTCATATTATCTATATTACCATAACCTCTTTATGAAACTAGAAGCCTCACCGCTCGGACATCATCTGGCAGGTCCTCATCAAATTCACTCTTGACTATTTTCTCCAGGGTATTTATGGAGATCTCCAGAAGCTTCTCGTGGTGATGGTTTTCTAGGTCACGGCACTGGGCCATCGTTGGGGATAAGTTAAGCAAATAAGACCAGGTTGTCATAATATGAATGGTTTGTTATGAACTATACCTGACAATGATGAGAGAAGCAATAGTTTAATTGAGAGGGACATTTTTGTCCCTACAAAGGAGATTCATTCACTTCAACCAGGCTAGGTACTCAGTTAAAACTCTTTGAACTTGAAATACTGTTCTTTAAAGGGAAGTCATAGAACTACAGAGTTCAACACACATTTAATAAAAGAGGCATTTTATACATCACTGGGGATACAGACAAAACAATCCATGCCCTCAAGGAGTTTGGAGAAGAGAGCTAACATGTACACAAATAAGAATGATACCAGGTAATCTGAGTTGGAATTGAGTAATAACAAGTGGAATATGAAGGAAAGCTTCATGGAGGAGGTAGTCCCAGAGCTGAGTATTGGAAGACAGCCAGGGTACTGAGAGATGGAGATGAGAAAAGAATCCATTTCAGGCATGAAGGTAAGAGATGGAACACTGAATTCAGGGAATCACTAGTAGATCAGTTTGCCCAAAATACATGAGTTCCTGAAGAAGAGTAACATGAAATAAGGCTGGAAAGGTAGGTTGGAGGCAGATTGTGAAGAGGTATAAGTGTTAGGCTGGAGAATATTTTATTGAGGCATTTGGGAGTCACATGGTCAGGGGAGTGCATGTCATAAACAGTCCTGCTACACAGGAAGAAATCTTTGGCAGCAGTTTTGGTGGATGGATTGGAGAAGAAAGACACTGGAAGCAGGGAGACCAATGAGGGAATTAATGTAATAGTTTGAGTGAGAAGTGATGGGAGACTGGAAAAGGGTGATAGCCCTTTAAAACTAGTGGACATGCATGGGAAAGATTATGGGGAGGGGGAGGTGTGAGGGATTGTCTGATGTTGGCTACGTGCCACGTGGGGGTTGTGGCAAGATGAGGCAGGGACAAGATATTAGGAAGTAACCGGAGCTTACGCTCCCGAGGCAGGGGGCTGTGCCATGTGGAGTTGTGGAACTGGCATAGGAACTGGATACGGGGAAGTAACCAGAGCTCACGCTCCCGAGGCAGGGGGCTGTGCCATGTGGAGTTGTGGTGAACTGGGGTAGGAACAGGATACGGGGAAGTAACCAGAGCTCACGCTCCTGAGGCAGGGGGCTGTGCCACGTGGGAGTGGGACGGCAGAGAACGAGCTCCCTTTCTCTAGTCCTCTCCCTAGGTGCAGCGCTAACCCCAGACGTCTCCTTCCGGTATCCCGGCCTAGCTTCCTTTGTCACGTCCTCTCCCTTGGTGCAGTGCTAACCCCAGACATCCCCTTCCGGTATCTGATCCTACAATCATTCACTGGTAGGCGGGCTGAGGGGGAGGGGCTAGGAAGGTATATAAGGAGCGGTAGGGGTCGGAGCTCCCTCTCTTGCTCCTGCTCTCTTGCTCCTGCTCGTGCTTTCCTGCTTGGCCTTGCTGTGATGGCCTCTGAATAAAGTTCGAGTGTTTGTACCTCCTGATCGGCTTGTCTCTGTGTTTATCCGGGTGGGCTCCGAAGATTGGTAAGTATGACCCTGGCAGCCTGCTCCTGTTAGAAGGAGAGTGCACGGCACGACCGGCACAGGGAGGCACAAGGAGGAGGGAAAGAAGAGTGAGTGATTATTACCCAGAGGATATGAGCCTATATGAATAGAAGATGATGGCATCCTTAATTTGGAAGAAGAGTGAGTTTAGGGAAAAGATAAATAAATTTCCTTTTGGATATGTTGAATTTGAAATGCTTGACAGTACATCCCAGAGATATCCAGCAGGGATTAGTTGGCAATGCAGGAACAGAGTTCAGGAGAAAGATCAGGATTGGATGGATAGATTTTGAAATTATTTGTGTAGAGATGATAGTTGTATGGAGAGCAACAGATAAGATCCTCAGGGGAAAGGCCTCCTAACTGGGTTCCACACTTCCAGTCTTGCCTCTCTCCAATCCATCCTTCACAAACTTTCCAAAATAATCTAATACTAAAGCACAGGTCTGATCTGGTCACATCACTGTTCAAGAAGTTTCACTCAGAACTGAAACCATCCTATTTATCCTGTCTCTAGGATAAAATAGAAATTCTTCCATGCAGCACAAAAAGCCATTCATAGATGAAATACTTAAGAACTTTGTTTGATGCAATGACTAACCCATCTTCAGGGGACCTATGATGAAGCATGTTCCCCACCTCTTAACCAAGAGGGCGTGGACTCAAAGTACAGAAAGAGACGTACGTTTGTAGCTATGGCAACTGTGTGCTTGACTATGCTCTGTTACGTTGGGATTTTTTTTTGTTTCTCTAGGTTTTTAATTGGAAGAAGGGATGAGGGTAGGAGGAAAAAGGGATGTTAGCAACAGTGATGCCAAAAAAGAAAGAGCATTGGAACATTTTTTCAAATTGCACAGAAAAAAAACAGAAGGAAATTCAGACAAAAGCACAGAGAATCAGGACAGTTTTGAAAGTAATATATGAAAAAAAAGAAAAAAAAAGTAAGTAATATATGGAATTCATTATATGCTTTAAAAAAAAGGCAAGTGGTTATGAAATAGAGATTCTTGGTTTCATATACAATCCACTCTTTGTGTTTAGCTACCTATTTGGAAATACTTTTTTTGGGATGTTTAAGTTCATATTTAAAAATTAAATTTTAAAAAGAAAGAAAACTATTTATAGTCTGGCTCCAGCCCTCCTTCTCAGAACTACTTCACATTACTCCTCTCTATCACTAAGTTCTACCCGATATGGTCTACTTCCTCTACCCCCTCTCCCACCTCTATGCTATTGACTAGGCTGTGCTCTCTGCCAGGAATGCACACTGTCCTAACATCTGTTTCTTTGTTTCCTTAGCTTCCTTCAAGTCTCTACTCAGGTGCCGCCTCTTATGGGAAACCCCTCCATATCCCCAAGGTACTAGTGCTTTCTCCTTCCTCAAATTATCTTGTGTTTACTAATCTCTGTAAATGTATATCTACCTCCCACACCACCTCCAGCAGGATGTAAGCTCCTCCAAGGCGGGGACTATTGGTCATTTTATCTTTGAATAACAAGGCCTTGAGGCAGATCAGTTCCTCCACTGATGGAGAAGGGAGGCATTTAGAGCATGGTCGAATGGACTTCTGGGAACAACAGTCCAGAGACTTCCTGTAAATCGTCCCCCCCCCCCCCCAGGAAGGAGAGGCACCTGAGAGCTTAGAGAACTCAGGGCACAAAGGAGAGAGTCTCAAAGTGGCAGATTCAAAATGGAGAGGCTGAGTGGTGGTAGCAACCCTATGGCACACAAGGACTGATGATGGGGGATGTAGAGATGCTCCAGTGAGCCCTTCGAATAAATACAAAAACTGGGGTGGTGATGCAGTTACACCTCCTTCCCTCATTCCCCATTCAAACTCACTGAACAGGGATGTGGCCAGAAAGACCAACTGAGGTTTAACTCTACTCCAGGCATTTTCTAAATGATTTCTATATTTCCTTAAGCTATTTCTAACTCCTGATTTTCTTTAATATAAAACTACTTTGTGATTTGTATGTCTTCAGTCGCAAATGTAGGGGTTACAATGGAACAGGCCTTAAGACTGGTACACAGAGGAAGACAAAGACGTCCATCACCTCTGTCTAAAAATGTTAAGATCTGGGGCCGCTAGGGGTGCAGTGGATAGAGCGTTGGCCCTGGAGTCAGGAGGACCTGAGTTCAAATCTGGCCTTAGACACACAACACTTACTAGCTGTGTGACCCTGGGCAAGTCACATATCCTCACTGCCTAGCAAAAAAAAAAAAATGCTAAATAATATTTCAAAGTATTAGGGGCAGCTAGGTGGCACAGTGAATACAGCACTGGCCCTGGAGTCAGGAGGACCTGAGTTCAAATCTGGCCTCAGATACTTGACACTTACTAGCTGTGTGACTGGGACAAGTCACTTAACCCCAGTTGCTTCACAAAAAAAAAAAAAAAAATACGAGCTCCTTGAGGGCAGACACTATGGTGTCAGGAGGACCTGAGTTCAAATCTGACCTCAGACACATGATACTTGCTAGCTGTGTGACCCTAGGCAAGTCACTTAACCCCGAATGCCTCACCAAAAGAAATAAAAAAAATTTTTTTAAAGTAAAAATAAAAATGTTAGAATCTTTCCCAACTGGGGGCTCCAAGCAAAGTTGAGAGAGAATCTCAATTACTATTTTAGTCATAATTTTTATAAACTCCCTAAAAGGCAGAACTAAACTCAATCTGCCTATCTCCCTACAACCAACTTTCCAGGAGGAAAAAAAATATATGCACGACATTACTTTTAAGTTTAATCTGCATAACTGACATTTTCTCCATAACTTTCTTAAATCTGGACAATCAGCAAAATAATAAGTCAAGTTATGACTTATAGTGTTGTTGAGGTCAGATTTGAGACAGCAGTTCAGATGTGAAAGTATTCACTTAGACCTTGTCTATAGCCAATGGGAGCTTTATTTTAAGGTGTAAGCAAAATAGGTCTACTTAGCAAGAAAGCTAAATGAGACCCCAATATTTGGGGGAGTTATGCTTATATAGAGCTTTCAGAACAATGAAGAATTTTATGACACAGGATAATGGAGATGGCTGCTCACAAGATAAGGAAGAATTTTATGACACAGGATGAGGAAGATGGCTGACAAGATAAGAACAGGGGGACACAGGATAAGGAAGAAAAGCAATTATTTTGGTCTTAGAAAATAAGGAGAAGTTTGTGGTATTTCAGCATAAGGGAAAAGGACTTTAGGATGCCCTCAAGTTACTGGATAAGCTACAGAATGAGCCCCAACCCCCTCAGGGAGGGCTTCACAAAGTACTAGAAAAGCAACCCTCAATATTCTTTTTAACCCTCAGGGTACCATTTGTATCCGCACCAGTGTTTCCCAATTCTGAGGTGTAAATGCTCATACTAAAAATTTAACAACTGACTTCAGTACAAGCTAGTCCAATATACCCCTGAATTCCAATATACTCCTGAATTTAAT